TCAAAAGTTTATAAAAATATAGTCATCAAATACTTATGTTAGTAATACAATAATATCTTTTAACTATCAAATTAACACATAGAAAATAATTACTTTATGATATATATTCCACAATGCTATTAGTTTAAAGATTTTATAGATATAATATTTAATTATATATATTGTATAACTAATACAAAGATTAAACATGTAGTACTGAAGCAGATATAATTTTTTTTACTTAAAAGTTGAATTTAAATTCAAATGACATTTTAAGATGGATGGAGTATTATTTTTATTTAAAAGAAGTTGATATTTAAGATAAAGAGTGTTCTTTTTTTTTCACTTTTTTCTTTTTTAAAATTTTTTTGCAAAGTTTGTTTGTATTTAATAAATATTTTTTAAAAAATTTTATTTTATTTTTTAAAAAATAGGATTTACTTTATACCAAGCATTTTTTTTTAGGTTTTTTTTAATCTTTTTTAGGGATAAAAATACTATACTTATAAATAATTAAGATATAATCTATACATTCATTCATTATATAAATTTTGCCTATTTTGACTTTTGTTTCACTTTCATTTAAGGTATCAGCGTAACACTTTATATTTCTTTCCTTTTTTCTTCTTTTTTTCTACCTTTTTTTGCCAATTTTTTTTAATTTAAATAAATTAGTAAAAAAAATCTAATTGAGGTATCCATGTAGCACCCCAATTTAAGTTTTTTTTTTCTTTTGTATTTTAATTACATAAATTTTGCAATAAAAGAGCTAATTTTTTTAAGATTTTAATTTTTTATGTGTGGGATTCACTTGATACCAAATGTATGTCATATAATTTTTTTTTTCATTTTATATATTTAATAAATAATTATTTTGATTTTATTTTTTAGTAACATGCTTGATATTAAGGGTATGTCACATGTTAAAGCCATTTGATTCTTTTTTTTATTTTTTTATTTACATTTTCTTTTTTTTAAAACTTTTTTATTTGCTTAAATTTTAAGATATTTTAAAATTTTTTTAAAGTGAGGCCTATTTGATCTAATTATTAAAAACATATTATTTTCTTTTTTTTCTCTTTTTAATTTGATAATTATTTATTTTATTTTATATTTATATATTGTATTATATTAATAAATTATTATTTAATATTTTAATTTAATAAAAATACTATATTTATATATAATTAAAGTTTAATCTATCTATCTATTCATTATATAAATTTTACTCATTTTAATTATTGTTTAATCCTCATATAATATGCTTACATGACACCTTATGTTTCATTCCTTTTTAAAAACTTCTTTATTTTTTTTAAACTTTTTTTTATTTACATAAATTTATTTAAAAAAACTCAATAAAGGTGCTCACATGACACCCGATTTTTTTTTTCATTTTGTTGTTTTGTTTTTTAATACATAAAATTTGCAACAAAAAAGCTAATAGATAAGCAAAACAACTTATATCTAATAGGTTTCAATCTGGCTTAATCCTATAGGAGCATTTTTTCACTCTTTTTTTTTGTTTTTTGCTTTTATTGTTTTTCAATTAGATATATTTTTTTTAAAAAAAGTTAATAGAAGTGTCCATGTAGCATTCCTTTTTTTGTATTTTTTTAATTAAATCAATTTTATAACAAAATAAAACAATTAATAAGAATAATAAAATAATTAGGATCCAAAGGTTTCTATCCGTTTTAATTTGATATATGTGATTTTGTAAAAAAATAAATCAATATCGAATCAATTCGAATTCATTTTTAATAGAAATAAAAAACATATCAAAAGTGGATTTACTCCTTTGCCCCATGACACCTTATGATATATATAAAAGTATATATTTTATTATTTACTTAAATTTATATTTGTACATATATTTATTTGTATTTTATTTAAAGCTTCGTATTAAGTGGGTACCACGCAAAAAAGAATTAAAAAATATTTTTTATAATTTATATTTTATGAGAATAAGAGATCAATTTAGATATTCACTCTCAAGTCTTTGGTTTTTTTCCCTTTTCCCCTTTCCCTTTTTTCTTTTTTTTTTTAAATTAGGTAAAATTTAAAAATGATTAATAAAACTGACAAAACAAAAAGATTTTGATCCACGTTAACATGTGGGTACCCCAGCTAATAATTTTATAAATGTAAGATAAAAAGTAATTAGAAGTGCGAAACTGCAAGATTGCAAAAGTAAAGTTTACTAGTTTAATTTGGATACAAAAATAGTTGACTAGGCAAGACAGTATAAGGTAAAATTTTTAGGGGAAGTTGGTAAGTTTTTTTTTTTTTTTTTTTTTGTGTAATGATTCAATAAAAATGTTAAAAAAAAATAAAATGGATATATTGATAAATTTTAAAAAAAATGTAAATAACTTATTAAAAATATCATTTATAATTCAAATTTAATTAATATTTATTCAATATAAAAAAAATTAGTCAAAATTTTTAGTACAAATAATTATATAAATTTTTTTTACAATTTTGCAGACTTATTAATTAGATTGTATGATTGAATGCCATTAGAAGAAATTTTTCAACAAGATCTATGTAATAAAACCTTTCAATTGTGATTTATGCATTATTATTGTCATTTAAAATTTCAATTTAAGCAATTTTATTTCAAACAAAAGCAGGGAAAATTTTGCAAAAAAATTAGGTAAAAAAGAGAAAAATTTCTCTTTGATGTAATAATGCAAAATTATTATTAAAAAGGGGGTAATTAACGTTCACGATCTCTAAATTTTGAAGTGAATATCGTTTTGGTCTTCATATTTGAAAAGTGACATTTTGGTCTCTATATTTATATGGTCATAACGACATGGTCATTTTATAAGGAAAATTGTTAATGCTCGACAAAGATAGCCACCAACTCATCGTCAAATCAAAGATAAAATTATAAAAAAGGGTTGTGATAAAACTTTGTTTTTTATTTGTTATAGTTAATAAATATTTACTAAAACAAGTATTAGAAATTTTGATAATTATATGAAAAATAAAATTATTTTTTTTACTTTTAATTTTGTTAGTAAATATTTTTGAGTTCAATTTTAAGATAGAAAAAGGAAATCTACATCTTGAAAATGAAAATTACCAATTTTTTCTTCAAATTTATTTATTCTTTATTTAAAACATACAATTGGGCTCTCTTTGTTTCACTAAAAATAGCTTCCTGAAAATAAATTTTGGAAAATGGACTCATTTTCTAAAAGTTTGATTTTTTTTTTTGTCATTTGGATGATGTTATGAAAAATATTTTCTGATGTTTTAATGTTTTTCTGAAAAATATGCGTTTTCATTAAAGTAGTGTTCTTCACATAATATCTAAATAATATTTTTACACTTATACATAATAATAATAAACTATAAATATAAAAATAAAAGATAGTAAATTAAAAACACAACACAAAAAAATCATTATAATAAGATTTTACAAACTTAAAAATATAATAAAATAGTTTATATAATGTTCTTATACAAAAATAATCCTACCAAATTTATAAATTATGTCCACAATAATATAGATTGTAAGGTTATGTCCAAATAAAATAGTTTTATTTTTCTTGAAATATTATTTTTTAATATAATAGTATTTTGAATTATTATTATTAAAATATTAAAAATCTTTATAATATTAAAATAGCTATATTTTATATTTAAATTTATTTACTATTAACACAACAAAAAGTATTATTTATTTATATTTATTATTAAACTAGTAATACAAATACCAATTTGTCAATAAAATTTACAAATAATATATTTTAATTAAAAATTAAGAAATTCTTAAAATAGTCATATTACTATAATAATTATATCAATATATTAAACAATATTAATTATTTAAATAATAAAAATATTATTTACTATATAAATATTTATTATTTGTTATTAAAATAATAATTTAATAATATTTATTATTGAAATATTAAAAATATTTATACTTAATAATATACAAAATACAAATATTTAAAATTAAAATATTAAAAGGCCTTTGATGTTAATATTAATATTTTTATTTTTTATTAAAATTAAGTAAAATATTTTTTATTAATATAATAATATTTTGGATCATATCAAATTAAGTTTGAGTAAAAAATTATTTTTTAAAGTTTGGTTAAAATTTTTTTTCAAAGTTCGGTTTGAGTAAAAATAAAAAATTTTTAAAATTAAAATATTATAAGATTTTTAATATTAATATTTTAATTTTTAATTAATATTAAATTAAAATATTTTTATTAATATAATAATATTTTTGATAAAATCAAATTAAGCTCGAGTTAAAATAAACATGTTTGCGGTTCAAATTGAGTATAACTATGTTGATGAGCTTGGGAAATGGTCCTTTTTCATAGATAGATTTTTTTAGAAATTGTCTTTCTAGGGAAATCAATTTTGAGAAAAATAATTTTATTTTTCGTTGACTAATAAATTATTTTTTATTGATTAATTAATTTTTTGTGAGGGCACATATAAAAAAATAAAAATTATTTTTTAAAACTCATTTTCTAGGAAAAACAAATAGACCCTTAAACTACGTATTATTATAAAATATTTCATTGTGTATTTGTCATTTGTTTTATAATATTTCATCACCCTAAAAATTTTTTTCAGAAGTTAAATTTTTTTAGTTATAAAATTTTATTTTCTTAATTATTATTATTTTATCTTTTAATCTTAAACTTATAATATTATTAATTCATTATCTTACTTTGTATTTTTTTTTTTCTTTTACTCAAGGGATTCTCTGACGTTGCGTTATGATCATCAAAATATAAGGATCAATATATTACTTTTTAAAGTTCTAAGATCAAAATATTATTTAATTTAAAATTTAAGGGCTGTGAAAGTAATTTACAAAAAAAAGGAAAGTTCTTGTAGCTTTTCAATGTAGAAAAATGGTGCTTGACTTCACTTTCTTTGGGCGACTTTTCTAGTCAACTTGTGTTGACAAAGTCCAACCGTAAAACATTAAAAAGGTCGGAAAAGATGTTACAAAAACGAACAAAAAACAACAACTACTGACTTTGCCAAATTGTCATCCCATGAAAACAGGAATAAAATTTACAAATCTATATGTTTCTCAGTGACCCATTAGCTCATTTTTTCTGGCAGTTTCAAGAAGCTCAGATTCAAGGAAGGAAGGAAAGTTGAAATATTAAAGCTCTTTTTTTTTTTTTTTTGTCTTTCGGAGTATGTTTGTTTAGGGTTTTGAAGGTCAGATTTGAAGCTGCTGCTTCTTCTGTTTCTTACTGGTAATGGAGTTGAACAAGCTTATCAGGCAAGTGGTTCGCTACTCGCTAGTTCTTTTTTTTTTTTTTCCTTCTTTTTTGCTTATATTTTGATCGGTAGTCGGTAAATTTGTTTCTGATTTAACTTTTGTTTTCTGATTAGTTTTTCTATTGTAAAAAATATGCTGTTTGGTAGCTGGGAAAGTTCTGTCAAGTTTTAGATTTTCCATTGGGGAATAAACAAAGCTGGAATTTTAGTAATATTTAGGAGCTTTGTGAACTAATTTGGATGAATCGGGTAATGTTTTTATTACTTGGGGGGACTGGAGGAGAGTAAATCAAGATGGTTCTTTCATAATGTTTTCTGGAGTTTTTTCCCCAACTTAGGTTAATTAAATTCTTTATTCTCAAATTAGAGTACTTTTAAACTTATATTCCAAACTGAGGTACTTCAAACCATCTAAGCACCATGTCATTATTAACGTGAAAAAAAAAAAATAGTGTTGACTTAGCCTTACAAGACAACTAACTCATTCATCATATACTTGAAAAGTAAAACAAGACAAACACAAGAATTCCCACTAACCAGAAAATCCAAAAACCATTATAGAAGTCAAAATTTTAAGATTCTAGTAGTCAAAATCTTACTATATCCAAGCAATGGAAAATTATAACCAAGAGAAAAAAGTGCCTCATTAAGCAATTAGCAACCAAACAAAACAAACAAGAAAGTGAATTGCCCATTAAAGAATTCAAATCCAACAAACAGCCAATTATTAAAAAAAAAAAAAAAAAACTCACAACTTGTTTTACAATAAATAAATTCCTAGAATAAAAAGGTCTGTAAGTGCAAGATCATCTTTTGTGTAAAAGAAATAATGCATGTCTGGGCAGTCAATACCCACGTTTTAGTTCTTTCAAATTTTTCTCCGACAAAGGTTATAAGCCAAGGGTAGTATTGTGGCATGGAATGTTTATATAATGAGTGTTGGAGGAAAGAAATTGAAGAAGGAAATAATATTTCTATTTTAGGCAAGGGAAAGGAACTGAGATAAAGGTTTTCTTGGAGTTCTGTTTGAAAGAGCGAGTTTTTAATATTGAGGATTTCTTGATGATATTAATGTTTATTAGAGAGAATGCTTGTCGGTGGCAACCAATGACACATTCATGTTGGCATCAGTTATTGATAGTTTGACGCTCTTGATGGTGCCTATTGCTGGCAACATTGTTTGCAACAAGAGAAGAAAAACAGAAAGTATTATAAAAATAAATGAAAATTGGATTACCACATTTTATTGGGTAGGCCACGTAGACAATGATATGATGCTTACATAGATTGAAGTACCTCACTTAAGGAAATAAGTTTAAAAGTACTGTAATTTAAGAATAAAAAAAATCTAATTAATCCTAATTGGGAAAAAAACTCATATTTTCTGGTTGTGTTCAGTGGAGTAGTGAAGGAAAGTTTTACATTTCTTATTATCTTTTTTTTTTGAAGTACATTTCTTATTATCTTTTTGCTGGAAAAAGTGAACTTTAACTTAAGTGGAATTAATCTCTTTGGTTTTCAATTTTCTTAGGAGTGGGACATAATGAAACATAAATTCTTTAAAAATTAAGTTAAGGCAATTTCTCTCTTTGAATGGACTTGCTGATTAAAGTGGAAAAATTGGAAATATCCCATCTATGACTGAGGATACTAGATGATGCTGCCACATTGTGGGAAAAGTGGGAAGTGGTTAAATCAGTAATTACACAGAAAGAAAGGTTTTTTGTCATTGTAGATTTGCCAAAGAATTCGGAAGCAAATTGAATAAATCCTAGTTGTAGAATCATGAAAGTTCTTTTGGATTGGAAAATCATTTCTACTGTTAGTAAAAAGTTTTAATACTTCATACTGAACACTTGTTGTTCTTTGGTAAACTTGTTTATTTCTAGGTTTTATACTGATGGGAAACGACAGAAAGAAACTCCATGGGGAAACAATGATCGTTCATTTCTTGAAAAGTCATCTTCTGGGTACAAGATTTCATTTTCTTCAGTGCTGAAACCGGAGAATGGGATGGTCGGGGGAAGAAATCGACTTCCTGACATAGGAAAAGTTGGAAGGTCAAAGGTTTTTCCACAGGGCAATTTACCATGGTACAAGAAAATTCTTGATCCTGGCAGTGAGATTGTGTTACAATGGAACTGGGTTTTCATTGTTTCGTGCTTGGTAGCACTTTTCATTGACCCATTGTATTTTTATTTGCCTGCTGTTGGAGGGGATTTAAGCTCTTCATGTGTAAAGACAGATACAAACTTGCGGATTGTTGTTACGTGTTTTCGAACTGTTGCTGATATTTTTTATTTGTTTCACATAATTATAAAGTTTAGAACAGGTTATGTTGCACCAAACTCAACAACCAGAGTGTTTGGAAGGGGTGAACTTGTAATGGACCCCAAGAAGACTGCTCAGAGGTATCTTAGATCTGACTTCTTCATAGATCTCATTGCAACCCTACCTCTTCCTCAGGTATTTGTTGTAAAATGCCCTTTTTTCTACCGAAGACCTATCATAAATGGTATTTGCCTACTTTATTTTTCAATTTTCTGTTACATGAACTCAGTTGCAGAATATAGTAAAATAGATTGTAAATAACTTATATTTCTACAGAAGTGAACTTGAAGTACTGTCCCTCGGACTTTAATTGTGGTTCTCTGTTTCCCTAATCAACCAAAGCAGGACTTATTTGAGCCTCAATACATGTTTTCATACTAGGAAAGATCTTTTTTACTCATTTTTCATTAGTATACAATTTAGAAGAGGTTATGTAATCATCCTCTGTAGACCAAAAGGATCTTGATTTCCTTAATTAATAGATATGAGGCATGAATATTTTGTTGTATATAAATATAACTCAAATCTCTTTGTTTCTTATTTGGGGTTTGAGTGCATTTTACATTTGTATAGAAAATTAGGGGCCACTCTTTTTACATATATATTGTTAATTAACCTCTGTGCCATTCAAGGATATTTTGAAGTAGAGTGATTTGGCCTTTGATTCAAGTGTCATGGTTAATTCCATGTACTTGCCTATCTTGTTAAACTTGTGTGATTTCCTGTTTAATGCATTACAAACTAAAGATGAGAAAGATGAAACAACAGTTCATTTAATTCTTTTTTGCAGATAGTTATCTGGTTTATCATTCCGGCAACAAGAAGTCCTCAAACTGATCATTACAACAATGCCCTTGCACTAGTTGTTCTTCTTCAGTACATTCCCAGATTATATTTGATTTTTCCATTAAGTTCTCAAATTATTAAAGCAACTGGAGTTGTCACAAAGACTGCCTGGGCGGGTGCTGCCTACAATCTTCTCTTGTATATGTTAGCTAGCCATGTATGTTATCTTTATAGCTTTATTATTAGCCTTTTTCTCTGCTTTTTTGTTTGTGTGTCCGTTTTGCTCTCTTTGACTGTGACTAGCTGGGTATTCTTTATTCAATTTCCTCTCATCCCTTCTGTCAGTTTTTACAAAAAAAGATGCCTATTTATTCAGGTCATAGGGGCGGCATGGTATCTGCTCTCTGTTGACAGGTATACTTCATGCTGGAAGAAAATTTGCGGGAAGGAATTTGCTCCTGTCAGATGCAGTTTATACTATTTAGATTGTGACACTTTTGGCCTTAATGATCGCATGATGTGGGCAAATGGCACTGCTGTTTTCAGGAACTGTGATCCAAGAAATGATATTGATTTCCAATATGGGATATTTGAAAGTGCAGTAAAAAAGAATGTAACCTCGACGGGCTTTCTTGAGAAGTATTTCTATTGCTTATGGTGGGGCCTACAGCAACTTAGGTATGATTTTATTAAATTATGGATAAAAATAATCTTATATTGCAATTCTTCTTAGTGTTGTCTTTATTCACAGAATATACTGATGCACTTTTTGAGTAATCTCCTGGTGGTTGATGAGTGCAACCAAACTGTTTGATTTGGAGATTTTGTTGTTTCACTTACAAATAATAGTTCTAGCAACTTTACTGATGTGCTTGATATCTTGCCTGTGATGTTGTATTAGTATTGATCAAAATGGTCAACTAGGTTTTGAAAGAAGTCAGTATAAGACAAAAAGTGTACATTATTTCTGCAACCTGAATATGTTGAATGTTTCAGTGTGTTCAATGAGAAAGTATCCTGAAACATTTGATGAAAAGATGTAAACCTTCACTACAATAGTGATTAATAGGAGAAATTATTTCCTTTAGACATGCATCTGAAACGAATAAATATCAGATACCTACTGGTCAATTTTATGTTCCTCTCAGCTAGTTGGGAATGGATGGCATTCAAAGTTGATAAGTTGCATCTTTATGTACCCCTCGGAAGTAGTAGACGGGCAAACTGTGGGATCAAACAATGTATTTTGCTATTTTCAAATCTAAACCATTAATGACCAGCAACTTATGGTACCATATTATTTCAATGGTTTTGTAATACCTATGGAATGAAATGCCAATTAAAGGTTTGTAGAACATTTGCACTTTTCTCCAATTCATTTACAGGAAAATTGCTTTGCACAAAGGATTAGTTTCTCTAATCTAATAATTAAAGAAAGCAGATGTCAATTCAATGAGTTTTTTTGCATTTAAAAATGTTGATAAAGGCCTTTTGTTTTCTTATCATCTCAGTTCCTATGGGCAGAATTTGTCAACTAGCACATTCATTGGGGAGACATTATTTGCTATACTTATTGCTATCTTGGGTCTTGTTCTATTTGCCCACTTGATTGGCAACATGCAGGTATCAGAAAATTTGCATCCTTGAGTTTTTCCTTTAAAATCAAAATCGCGTTCTTTTTATAGTAAATCAAATGAAGTTGTTTATATATATATATATATATATATATATATATATGATCATCTTGATGTTATGTGTTCATGGATGGATTTTCGTGTTTGTATCTTTTGAGTAGAATGCATCTAATTAATTTTATCTGTTAGAACTTTGTCTTGACTACATGGTACTGTCTTGAGTTGTCTACTGTTGGCAGTTGAGATCTTCTCTTTTTTTCTTTCTCCTCTCAATTAAGAAAGCAGTGAATAGGAAGGAGGATGCATTCTTATCTAGTTTCTTATAGTTTGCAAAATCCTGCATTATGCTTCAATTTTCGAATTTATTTTAAGCTGAATATTCATCTGCCTCATTAAACAATTATTTCTGCAACTTGCACATTCTGATAGTTTACATTTGTTTATTTGATACAGACATATTTGCAATCCCTAACAGTGAGACTTGAGGAGTGGAGACTTAAGCGAAGGGACACTGAGGAGTGGATGACGCATCGCCAACTCCCTGAAGATTTAAGACATCGTGTTAGACGTTTTGTTCAGTATAAGTGGCTTGCAACTCGGGGAGTTAATGAAGAAGCCATCTTGCGTGGCTTACCTGCTGATCTTCGTCGTGATATTCAACGCCACTTATGCTTGGACCTTGTTCGACGTGTATGCAGCTTTCCCAAATCAATTTTCTTTCCAAGTTTTAAACCACCCTTACATGCTTAGGTTATAGATGTTTCTATTGAATAACAGTCCTGATGAGAGATTGTGCACATTGAATTTTAGGAGTCATATAATTATCTACTTAAAAACTAGCCTCTTCTGTTTTAGCATGAGTTTTCTTCTTGTGGGGCCTTCATCTAGTTAAGATCTAGTTTAACTGCCTCTTGAGCTGTACATTCCTCCCTCAGAACCTGTCTCTTAGATGAAATAAAAATGCATAAATTCAGCACTTTTGCAAGAATCTTCCTTTTAATGGTGTCTATGTGTTCCATTGTGAATCTTCCATCAAACAACTTCAATATTTGGGCCTCAACATTGTTGCTGCACACACCTAGATTAGATTGACTCCAAAATGTTATTTTGTCTAAACCTAAGGAAGGATTTCTTTATTAAATGATATTCAGTTTCATTGAAGTTGCTCTACTTTGCAGGTTCCCTTCTTCTCCCAGATGGATGATCAGCTGCTTGATGCAATATGTGAGCGACTAGTATCGTCCTTGAGCACCGAAGGTACCTATCTTGTTCGTGAGGGTGACCCTGTGACAGAGATGCTCTTCATTATTAGAGGCAGATTAGAGAGTTCTACTACTAATGGTGGTCGAACTGGTTTCTTCAACTCAATTGTGCTGAGACCTGGAGATTTTTGTGGAGAGGAACTACTTGCATGGGCTTTGCTACCAAAATCCACCATGAACTTGCCCTCTTCAACTAGGACAGTCAGAGCTTTAGTTGAGGTTGAAGCGTTCGCACTATGTGCTGAAGATCTCAAGTTTGTGGCCAACCAATTTAGACGACTCCATAGCAAGAAACTACAGCACACCTTCCGGTTTTACTCCCATCATTGGAGGACATGGGCAGCCTGCTTCATACAGGCTGCTTGGCGTCGGTACAAAAGGAGGATGATGGAAAACAATCTGACCATAACAGAATCATTTGCTTTGGATGAAAAAGAGGATGATGAGTCTGGACAGGAGGAAGAGAAAATGTTAACTGCCGTCTCCAATCCTTCTCAGGCAAAACTGAACCTTGGAGTCACAATATGGGCATCAAGGTTTGCGGCAAATACTAGGAGAGGAGCTCAAAAGATCAAAGATGTTGAGATGCCAAAATTACAAAAACCAGAAGAACCTGATTTTTCTACTGAGCCTGATGGTTAGTGATTGTTTGCATTATGTAAGAGTATATATTTGCTAAGCTTCTCAGACATTTTCAGTACAATAAAAGGTGAGAACCACCTCATAGTTAGGATGTGAAATTCCAGATCTTGAACAGCTTTTGCAAGGTGCAAACCTTACTAATCGGGTATTGGAGGAGAATGCAGGAGAAAGTTATGTTGTTCATTACTGTATGTTATTTATTATCAGATATGTGTGGTTTCATCAAATTCAAGCCGAGTCTAATCCACGAGCCTTGGAAAATACTGAGATGTTAACAAATTGGTTTGATGTAAAGGGTTGGAGATCATTCTGATTCTCCTATATGAATTGACAAAATAATATTTACTCAAAAAATGCAACTGACTTAATGAGTTTACAGGCATTTGTCTAGAAAATATTCTCTCTTGATTGGCCCATCTAAATAGATTTATTTATTTATATCGAATTTAATGAATTTATAAAAAATTATTTTTCAATCTCAGTAAATTTGAACTCAAACAAAGAAAAGTATATTTTTTTGCAATTGTGCCAACCATTCGTCGGTGTTGGTGGACATTTTAGACTTGCTACTCTCAAGTTTTGCCAGCTCTTTTCTGATGAAATCAGCTAACTGAAGCTTCTGAACATATAGAACCAGATATTTAGCCATTCCACAACTGATTGTTTGAGCAATCAAAGATAATTATTATCAGAAAATTTTAACGCCTTTGTCATTATTAAACTTCTTGTTGGCCTTGAATCTGTTTTGTACATATCACTTACTAACCCAAGTTTCACAGTCGACACTTGAGAGTTGATCCCATCGGTTTCTCATGTTTTGCATTTTCAAAGTGAGTCCATATTTTGTTTCTCCAAATCATGCTACCATCAGCTTGGAGTGAATTGTCTCCTACTTATGCTAGTTACGTATTAGACAAAAATTGATCAATAAGCTCACCAGAAGTTTCCAATCTCAGCTTGCAAGGTATTGAAAGAATAATCATGGCCACGCAGCAGCATACGTACAAGACACATCCTGAGTTGATCTTTTGCTTGGAAAAATTTGACTGTCCTGGGAGTATGATGTTCACAGCAAGCATTACTGTCTGTCACACCGGTTAGAAAAACTATAGTATACAAAATTAATTATTGCAAAATGATCTTTTCGTCCAACTCTGGTCTTCAACTTGGTGCGGCATTTAAGGGCCATAATTGTCAGTCACAAAATTTTGTTCTTGTACTTTTAGGATGAATTTAGTACATAAAATTATAATAAAATAAAATAAGATAATATTATAATTAGTATTAAATTAAATAATGTTATATTATTTTGTGTTTGATATATATAAATATTACGATAAAATAATTTATTAATTGGTTAAAATTATTTTTTTATAAAATTTGTATATTTAAATTATTGATATAAATTTTAAGAATATAATAAGATATATAGGTCATGTTTGATACATAAAATTATGATAGAATAAGATAATGTGATATTATGAATAGGATTAGATTAAATAATATTATCTTATCATATATTTGATGTGTGTAAGAACTAAAGTAAGATAATTTATTTATTAATTAAAATTATATTTTCTTAAAATTTATATAATTTAAATTATTGATATAATTTTTAAATGTATAATAGGACAAGTAAATTTAATCCAATGAATTAAAAATAATCTTTTCCACTTTGAGAGGATTAAATCATCTTATACCAAGAAGATAATAATCTTTTTTGTAATTGTATGTCTTTCAATTAGATACAAATCAAACATAATATAAAATGATTATCATACTATCCTATCCATCATTCTATACACCAAATATGATCATAAGTTTAATTTCATAAATTAAAAATAATTATCTTCATTTTGGCTTAGGACGATTTAATCCTCTTTATAATTCTCTTTCTTTCTTTAAATATAAATCAAATAGTATAAAAAAATTATCATTCTATCTCATTTATCTTCTTATATCATCCTATGTATCAAATATTATAATTTATCGAATATAGCTTTAGGATATTATCTCGGCTTGAACTTTTCTTGCAGTATCAGTGGCACATCCCAAAAGAATAAGAACTGACACATCCCGCAAGAATAAGAACTGAAGTGCCTGCAAATCCTCGAAATGCAGTCGAAGTGTGTGGTTTTGTCAATCACAGCAGGACCAGCAGCCAAGAATCAAGATTAATAAAAATGCTGAACCCAAAACTGATATCGGACTAAGAACCTTTATCCTAACCATTGATTCAAATATGAGTCCCTTCAAAAGAAAAGGAATCAAGGTTAAGTTAGAAATACAATTAAATTCAGCCAAAATCTCTGTTAGTTACATTATCAAAATAAAAAAGAGATTTAAGTACAAGGAGCAGAAGACAAAATATCTGTTACCTACCTTGTGAGAAAGTAGATTCAATTAGTTAAAATTTTCAGGAATCAGCATTTGAAATCATGGTACTTATCTTTGTTTTCTTTCCCCTTTTTTTTTTTTGTTTTCTATAATTAGAGAACAATAAATGTTAAAATTTAAAAATGAATTATCGGAGAACATAATATGGATAACCACTCACAGACTATACGGTAAAAGTACTTGAACATGAACAGCAACATGAATTGCTTAATCAATATCAGGCTAGCACAATAAGCCATTAAAGACATTTTGCTAAAGAAAAGAGAATTACCGTCTTCAGAAATGCTGCTGTACTTTCACCAGGTCGGACCAGTGGAATCAAGGCGCCTTGGCTCTTCAGTTGTTCGCTAACATCATCAGGGTCCGGTGTAGGAAAGTATAGTACTAATTGAAAAAGGCTAACAACAAGATATTGGTAGGAAGGTAGAGAGAACCTACAAACATTTGTAACTTTCAATTATTAATGTAGAAAATAATGGTATATTGTTTCATTTCAAATTTCTTTAGTTTTTTCTTGGGTGATATGCACACTAAAAATATATGAGCCGTGTAAATAATACAATAACAAACTAACTCTTATATCTCATAATTTTGGAGTTAATTATATGAAAGATAAAAAAAAAGAAAAAAAATCTTGTTAAATCATAATTTTGAATTTTTTTATACTATTCATTTTTATCAAAAACAACATTTTTATTTATTCCTTAATCCTCATATTATTTTTTATTATTTGTATCCACATCTTTCATAGTTTACCTTTAGATGTTTTGGTTTCTCCCAAATCCAAAAACTTATTTTTTTTAATTGGTGCATAGATAGACCTATATTTCACATGTCCAAACCATCTCCAATAGCTTTTTCTCATTTTTTCCTCAATCCGGACTATTCTTAATTTTTCTTGAATCTCTTCATTTATGATTTGGTCTCTTTTAGTCTTATCGCACATCTATCTAAACATTCTTATCTTAACAATGCTCATTTTCTTCTCATATTGTTTCTTAATAGCCCAACACTTAATCCTATTTAACAATGCAAGCTTTCAAGTTGCTTTATACAACTTTACCTTTAACTTTAAAGAAATATTATGAACATAAAACACATCTAATGCATTTCACTACTGTAGACACATATTTTGTCCGAGAAACCGAATATTGTGTCTAAATAAACTTAAATCTATTTTCGATTTCATTCTAGTTTGATCGAATACTTTGATCAAATGTATCGGGTTAATTTCATATTGAGTCATTTTAAATTTTATTAAACTTTTAAATAATAATAATAATAATAATAATAATAATAATAATAATAATAATAATTAACCTGATACATTTTATTAATAATAATAATAATAATAATTAACCTGATACATTTTATTAATAATAATAATAATAATAATAATTAACCTGATACATTTTATTATTATTATTATTATACATATATTTTTATTTTGTTTCTTTTCTTTTTGTTTTTCTTCTCTTATTCTCTTATTTTTTTTCTGTGCATTCAATGCACTAAAAATCCTTTTGCATTGCCTAATTTTGTCAACACCAATACCTTTTATCCCTAAATTTATAGCTCAAATTTTGGAACCAACAAAGTCACTATAGACAGTCTTAGAATCCATAATAATCTTAAAAAATTTAGGATCTAATTTCAAAATGGGCTTTATAAATTGAGATCAAATTTAGAGTAACAAACTGAGACAAAAATCTAGAAGAATAGAATCTTGCCAAACAAAAAAACAAAAGAAAAATTTTACAAATCAAAGCCCATGGCCAAAGTTTTTAAGTTCATTTTTAATTTCCCACCACAAAAAAAAAAAACACAAACACACATCTCATGGGACGGGGAATGCAATGCTAAAAGCACAAAAAAAAAATTGGTCTAAACTTCCAAGCTTGATCTATACCATTTGAGGCTATTTTTCATAAAATAAAGGTTGGATTTGTGTTCAGAGGATTTGTGAATTTTTGAAAATTTTTTGACAATCAAAGACAACAGTAGGTGGCTATGGCGATAGAAGAAAATTATCGATTTAGGTTATAGAAAAAAAGATGGAAGGTTGTGAAAGATAGGAAGAGAGAGTAAGAGGAGAGAAAATGAAATAAAAAGTTTTTTTTTTAGCTTTTATAGTTGAAAAAAAAAACAAAATGACATCGTTTTAGCAGAAAGATTCACGACCTAACTTGAGATATGTGCACTTGACCTAAAAACCCATTCATTTTAAGTTGAACTGGGATAGACCGACCTAAATTCCTTCAAATTACGTTGAACTACTAAAAATAGCATCGAACTATGCTAAATCGGTTGGACCACTCTAAACTGCTCCAAATTGGTTGAAATGGTCTAAATCAACCATTGGACCGTTGACTGCATTGACTAGAGGTGTTTTAGGTCTTTTTTCATAATTTTTTATTTTTTTCATATTTTTTGCTCAAATTTTTTAATTTTTTATTTATATATATTTTAATTTTATTTTTATGTGAACTATGTTTGGAAAAATAAAATAAATTTTTAAAAATGTAAAGGAAAAAGTTAAAATATCAAATTTTCCTAAAATATTGTTAAAAATAAAAATAAAAGAAATTAAAAATTTTGTTTTTTAAAAAAGGCAAAGGAAAATGTTACAATATCAAAATTTTCTAAATTCTTTAAGACTAAGATTAAAATAAGAAAAATAAAAATAAAATAAACTAAAAAATTTTGTTAAGGTGAAAAGGAAAGAAAAGCTAAGTGAGAAGCTCGTTTGGTTTGTTTGAAAAGCTTTGTGTATGAGATTTTTATATGGGATCTTTAGCTAGGATAAGAGAAAGAGAAAGAGATCACATAAAGGCTATGAGAGGTTAAAATGGTAAAACAAAAAAAAGTAACATAGAAAGAAATGGCCCGAAAATGCCATTTTAGTCTTGCATGACAAAAAAAAAAAGTAAACAATCTCGACTTAAAAAAAGCTAAGCATTTTGGCACTAGTAGCCTACAACAAAAAAAAATTCAAAAGTTATGGTCTAGCAATAGGATAGTATGAGAAAGAAGAAGAAAACAAAAGAGAAGTTGATGTTTTGGCCTTTTATATATAAC